GAAATCAAGTCCGGAAAAGCTGCCTTTCAATATTCCATGTGGTTCCCCCCCCCCTGATTCTCCCAGCAGTCAGATATGGAGCTCCCAGAACTCCTGGAAACCAAAGCCCCAAAACATCTGGAGAGGATTGTTTTGGTGAAGGGCTGATGCAAAAAAGAGTTTGCCCTGTCCTTTGTTCAACCAGATGAAATTAGGACATCAGCGACATCTAGTGTCATCCGTAAACAAGACCCGGCTTCTATTTATTATTAGGTCGTTGATGGAAAACGTGCTTCCCAGCTTTTCCCATCTGTCCCTTGGGTGACAGAAGTAACCATCAGCTTTTATTTAGCTGTTGTTTTTTTCTTGCTTCCCTTCATCTGCCGCTTTCTCTCTCATGCCTTGCAAAGGAAAGGAGGCTAGAGAATGGGATTTCCAGTTTCTTTCAGAATGGTTGCTATGGTGATGCCTGATCAGACAATACTCCCTCCGTCTCCATTCCACGCATTCATCCACCCACCCACTGCAGTCACAGCAGCCTGGATGTTTGCTAAGGTGCCTGTCCTCTAATGTCATCGGATTAGAAAATGTGAGTGGTCCCACAAAAAGAAGCAGAGCATCCTATGTGAATAACAGCATTTCTGCAGTGGTGGGCAATTTGCATATCTCCACAGATTTTTCTTCAGGAGTATACATAGAGATGCACCGTCATGCATACAGTCGTGGCTAGATGACAAATTATGTTCAGCAGTTCAGATTTATTTAACTGAGACCACTTTTCCATTTGAAATGCCCAAAGCAGCTGGGAATAAAATTAAAAGCAATATTAAAAGCAAAATACAAAAGTAAAGCAGATCTCTGCCTGGGGTCCATTTCTCCCATTCCCTGGAACAATACTGCTAATTGTTGCACTGATATCTCTGTGTGGCTTAATAAATATGGACAGTTTCATACAAGATGTTTTGCATGAACTGCCTTAACTGTCATAAAGTCATACAGACACCTCCCCACAACACATCACAGACAAGGCCCTGTAAAAATACAAAAAAAAAAACCCCAACAAAAACCACCTAGATATAACTATAGGAACTCCCTGTGCTTCCTGTCCCCTCTCTCTTAAAGCAATCCAGTCAGTTCAGTAACTGTTCAGTAATCAGTTCTCTAACAGTATAATGAGATGTAATTTAAAATACAGCCAGGGCTGGCAGACATGCAACCAGCTGTGGGTGTTATTAACACCTAAAGAACTCCTGGCAGGTCTGGAATTGAGACATGCAATTACCACTTAGTATGGAGGGAGGAGACAAAGCAAGAACAGGAGACTATTCCCACAGGGCCTGTGGGCGAAGCAATTGAATTTACTGTCAACATCCACTTTTTTAAAACACAAAACCACAGCAGGTTCAGATTCTTCAGGGCTTCAGCTTTCCAAACCCTGAGCTTTCTGAAAATATCCTATCAGATTTCCTGCCTTGAATATAACACTGAATTATTGTTTTGACTAAAGGACCCCACCTCTCAACAACGACCCCTAAAGTCATTTTGTAAGCCATCCAAAACAACAACAACAATCATTTGACTATGAGCCAGCAGTGTGCAGCAGCAACCAAAAAAGCTAATACAATCCTGGGCTGTATAAACAGAGGCATAGAATCAAGATCATGTGAAGTATTAATACTGCTTTATAAAACCCTAGTAAGACCATACCTGGAACACTGCAGCCAATTTTGGTCACCATATCACAAAAAAGATATTGTGAATTTGTAAAAAAAATTAGAGAAGAGCAACTAAGATGATCAAAAGCCTGGAGACCAAAACATACGAAAATGGCTACGGAACTTGTGTTTGGCTAATCTAAAGAAAAGAAGAAATAGGGGAGATATGATAGCAGTATTCCAGTATCTGAGGGTCTGCCAAAGGCAGAGGGTGTCAGGTTGAGGGACCTTTGCAAGCTCAGGAATAATGAGGCTGACCTCACCTTTGCGGGGAGAAATTCTACAATGTAGACACAATATTAGGCAAGGCCTGTTGCCCAAGGCCTGCCAAATATAGTTATCTAGACAACAGAACCCATAACACACATATTCTGTTGTATCTGCTGGGATGGTCAGATGAAAATTGGAAGAGGTGGTCCCTCAGATAAACTGTAGATGTAGGCCTTTAAAGGTCAACACCAGCTTGAAGTGAACCTGGAAACAAGCTGGTAACTAATGCAATCTCCGTAGCACAGATATGAATAGAATAGAATAGAATAGAATAGAATAGAATAGAATAACAGAGTTGGAAGGGACCTTGGAGGTCTTCTAGTCCAACCCCCTGCTTAGACAGGAAACCTTCTACCATTTCAGACAAATGGTTGTCCAATCTCTTCTTAAAAACTCCCAGTGTTGGAACATTCACAACTTCGGGAAGCAAGTTGTTCCACTGGTTAATTGTTCTAACAGTCAGGAAATTTCATTTTAGGTCTAGGTTGCTTCTCTCCTTGATTAGTTTCCATCCATTGCTTCTGGTCCTGCCTTCAGGTGCTTTGGAGAATAGCTTGACTCCCTCTTCTTTCTGGCAGCCCCTGAGATATTGGAACATTGGTATGTAATGTAATGTGCATTCTACCTGAAATACACATATCAACTGCTGGCAATGTTGCATTTTGCACCAGCTGAAAGTTTCTGAATGAGATGAGATGACTAAGGCAAAAGTCTTGGTTCATGAAGAAGCCTAATTACTAGTTTTCTAACCTGTCCATTTGCAACCTGTCCATTAACACACTGAATTTCCAGAGTATAAACTTCAGTCTAATGCATTCCTTTCGTTCTTATATATTCCTTTCACTATGTAAGCATTAATATAGGTATTAAAGCAGACTTTAAAAGAGTCATAAGTATTAAGTTTGAATGGTTACATAGATGGTAATTTGTTTCTTGATCTGTCTAGCTATCTTCTCAGATGGTGTTTGGTAAACTAGAAAGAGCATTTTAGAACAACCAGTAGTCCCAGACACTGCCAACTTACCATTCCCTGGATTGCTCATCATTGGATGTATTGGTTAAGACTGCTGGGAGTTAAATTCACAACATTATGAGAATCACAGATTTCCTACTTCTGAAGCACAGAGGATTAAGAGTTAATCCACGGACAAATATACTAACATTTTCAGCACCATGGATAGTACTCCAACAATCCTGTATTTTGACCAGCTGCCTCAATTATTGTGCCATTAAAATGTTATAATGCAGCTTAAATTTTATGAACCAAATGAAACCCCCCCTCTCTCTGAGAGAGAGAGAGGGAGGGAGGGAGAGAGAGAGAGAGAGAGAGAGAGAGAGAGAGAGAGAGAGAGAGAGAGAGAGAGAGAGAGAGAGAAGTGAGGAGGTTTATTTTATTTGCAATGTCTACCTCAAAATGTTCTGCTTTTTAATGATATCTCTGCCGTGTTCCATCTGTGATAATATTTTTTACAGATATTGACTGCTTCAGTTTTAGATTTCTTTATCAGCAATATGAGGACAATCACAATAGATCAATACATTTCTCAAAACTTGGGTAAAATATAAAAATAGGAAAAGTAAGGATAATAAAATGCCCAATATTTTGGAAGATATGAAGATACCAAAACAATAAGCCTAACATCATATATGACACAGCTAAATTTTGTTTTGCAAATATTAAAGCATGCAAGTAAATTACTGTAGAATTAGATATGCTTTAGCAAAGTATAAGTATTATGCCCAGATTGAATTATGTTATGTATTGTGTTATTAACATATTAAAATATTAACATTATTAACATTAATATTAACATATTAACATCCATGACCAGTTTTAAATCAGTTTATGCTATATTATTGTAATATAGTTTTACTGTGCAACTCTTTTATTGTCCCCTATAAAATACAGTTGTGATAAGAAACCAGCTTTAAAAAGCTTTTTAATATTTTAAAATATTTGCAATGGACAGACATCGGGCTTCAGGGATCTGGGTTTTCTCTCAGGTTATCTTAATTTCATCAGTCAGATTTGTCTTACATTTAAATTAAATTTTAAAGTGTTACATAGCCAAACAAACAGAATTACACTTTCTGACGTGCTGCAAATCAGTCAAAGATTTTTCTTCTGCCTATCTTTTAAAGCTTAATAAAAATGTTGGCAGCAGTAGTGAATTACCTTCTGTTGCTGCCACCTATGTAATTTAAATCATTTTATGTAAAAAGAAAAACAGTAAGCAACAACAGAACAAAAAAAAGGAAACTAAGACATATGTTTTAATTTCTGTCTTTTGTCTTCTTATATAGTTGGTCTGTATATAGCCCAGCTCTCATACTTTCTCTTGGTCTATAGTGTAAATGATGAATCCTTATTCCCACTTTGTCCATCTTTTCTGCTTGGGTCCATTCTGGAAAACTACTGGCTACTGCAGCTGCCTAATGCATATATCTGCACCATTTTGAAACTTGAAAGATCAAGAGAAGAAACTCTTCCTTTTTTAGCTCACGTTACTTTGCAAAGCATCTTCTTGTATGCTTCATATGCTATATACGAATGCATAAATAATGGACATGGAACACATTATATATATATATATATATATATATTATTTACTACTGACATTTATTATCTTCTTTTTCAGTTTTTGGGTGAAAGTATTGTAACCAGGCTTCATTTATTAGGATCTTGGTGTTTGGGGAGTCTGTTCCTTGAGCCTCTGAAAGTGAGAGCATGAACTCAGAACTTGATTTTCCTGAAGATGCTTCCTCTCTGAGGCAGACTTGCACCTGATTTTGAGATTTGCGTCACATCTCCTTTCCTACAAAATGCAAAGCAGCATTGGAACTAAGATTTCCAATTTGTCTCACGATACCCTGGACATTGGCAATCACGACGACAGCATCAACATTATGGGTATTGGCACAACAAGCATCGTCTCCAGAGGGGAACATAGCATCATAAGCATCACCTTCTCTCCCTGTATTCTGCATCTGTGCTGTCGGGTACCAGGCTATACCATTCTCCCATGCTGGGGAGGGGGGGAAGGGAAGATAAATGTTGAGTTTTCCCCTGATCTTACTGGTTAATGGTGCATCCCTACATCAGTTTTGCAGAAGAGAGGTTGCTCCCATTGCTGCCAAGAGGGTCCCAATGAACTAGGTAGAGCTGGTTGCTGAGGATTGCAGAAGGCTCCAGGACTTGCGAGGAGCCCTCTCAGGCTGTTTCCCCCCCTCCTATAAATAGCCCCCACTCCTTCTCTCCGAAGCGCAGGGGCAGAAGGAATCCCTTTCCCCCCCATAGATCCTCCCCTCAGGAGGCAAGCAGAAGGCGAGAAAAACAGCGCTCTTAAAGGAAGCTAGTTGGAAGGATTCTCTTCTGCGAAATTCCATCTCCTTCAAGAGCGGATGTCCTTCTTCTCCTTCGAAACAGAGCCCTGGTAGGCGAGCGCTCTCCTTTCTGTCCCCACGGCAAGCTGCTTTGCTCCCGGGAAATCAGTCGGGAGAAACTTCGCCCGGCGATCGAAGCCTCCCCCCCCCCCGAAAGACCCTCTTTCCCGAGGCTGGCTGACTGGGTCGCCTTTTCGGCGGTTCCCCTTCCTAGGGCACCTGGGCAAGCCCCCCTTCTCGAAGAGGGCTTCTGGTGGAAACCCCTCCAGGGGTCATCCCGAGGAAGAGCCCCTCATCTTTCCCCCCGGAGACACCCCAATATAGCGACCCCCATCTGCGGGACGCCCGTGTAACCCTCGAGACCTCAAACCAGTCGTCGAGATGAATTACCTCCGCAGGCGACTCTCTGACAGCAACTTCATGGCCAACCTGCCCAACGGCTACATGACGGACCTCCAACGCCCTCAGCCGCCGCCACCGCCGCCGCCCAGCGCCACCTCTCCGTCGCCGGGCAGCATCTCCCCAGCGGAAAGGCCACCGGCTGCCCCCAGCCCTGGAGCCGGAGGCGGCGGCGGTGGCGGCGGCGGAGCCGGGGGTTTTTTCTCGTCGCTGTCCAACGCGGTGAAGCAGACGACCGCGGCGGCAGCAGCCACCTTCAGCGAGCAAGTCGGCGGGGTGGCTGGCTCGGCAACGTCGTCGGGACGCGGCAAAGTACTGTTGGTGGTCGACGAGCCAGGGACGGACTGGTAAGGACCTGAGAAGGGGGAGAAGGAAATCCATCCATCCGTGCTTTTCCTTCCTTCCTTCCTTCCTTCCTTCCTTCCTTCCTTCCTTCCTTCCTTCCTTCCTTCCTTCCTTCCTTCCTTCCTTCTTTCCTTCCTTCCTTCCTTCCTCCCTCCCTCCTCCTCCTTCCTCCCGCCTTTTCCCTCCCTCCCCCCTCCTCCTTTCCTTTCCTTCCCTCCTTCCTTCCTTTCCCCTCCTTCCCTTCCTTCCTTCCTCCCTCCCCCTTCCTTTCCCTCCCCCTTCCTTTCCCTCCCTCCCTTCCTTCCTTTCCTCCCTCCTTCCTCCTTCCTTCCTCCCCTCCTTCCCTCCCCCTCCCTCCCTTCTCTTTCCTTCCTCCCTCCCTCCCTTCCTTTCCTCCCTCCCTCCTTCCCTCCCTCCCTCCCTCCCTTCAGTGGTTTTTCCCATTCAGATTCAAATGAGCTGTGAGCTATAGATGGGGGAAGGGGCAAATTGGGATTTCCAAAATACTTCATATTGAACTTCTTCATGTAAAGAAAGGTGGCGGTAATGTAAGGAGGCGAAATGGGGAAATAGCCTCTTTTGTTTCACCCCTGCCTGATCCAGTTATAGGGTCCCTTAGGCTCTTTTTGACATGGCCCTGTTTCCTCATTAGTTACTTACATTTGCTTCTAGGATCACCCAGGGATGTTGGAGCAATGTACAATATATCCCCATTACTATTGTTTCAGCAAAATAATAGGTCAAGTGGTGCTAGAAGAAGCAATCAGTTCTTAGTGAGGAAGGTAGACAATGAGATGATGTAGTCTTATATCCTAGCTCAAAATCCTTTGATATCCTTTAGTAGGGTGTTGTCCATTGACATTCCTGACTCCTTTTCCAATCTTTGTGGACTTTCAGTTCTTTATTTGCTATTTAATTTACGCAGCAACCTGTAATTTCCTCCACAAAGGTATTCTTCTGTTGAAGCTATATATTTGCAGAACTGGATTTCTGTCTGTTCCACGTCTGAGCAAAGACTAAATATCTATAAGCTCTTGGCATGATGGAGAGAAATACAAAGAACAGGATGAGAGGGTGTTACGGTGAGATCCACTGGAGATACACTTGGGTGTATAGAGTCTAGTTCTGTTCAAGGGCCACTGCTGTTCAGTTAAGTCCCAACAAGAAGATGCACAGTGACAAGAAAGGGAGAGAACACTTCCTGTCAATTTTTTTTGCAATGCAGCATTACAAGCATTACAAGCAAAGGAAGTGCTGTTTCCAAGGACGCAACACAGCAGTTTGGGAATTCAAATGGCTTCCAAAAATACCAACGTTTGTATCACAGATCAAGCTAGTTTGGGGCCGAATTGTGAAAATATCAACTACGGTCCCAGTCTGGCAGGTCTCCTACCCTGCACATTGGATTGTCTAGCCCTCTTTCCTTCCAGTTCAGCTTTAAGAGTTAGGATGGCTTTAATAATGAATTAGAAGATTCAGGGATTTGATATGGGTAATCTCCTCACCGCCACTTCATGAAAGATTAAGGAACAGCATCTGACATTTTTCCTGCAACTTATTGAAGGAGCCACTTGACTTGTTTTTTTTTTTTTTTCAAAGATGCTTAAGGAGGATGGCAATTTCCCTGGCCTGTGATCAGAATTATTCAAATGACTACAGGGTATATTCAGAGACTCTCAGATCTCCTAATAACAAGCACATTGATCCCTGTCTGATATATACCTGACAGTCATTCTAGTCTCTTTCTCTTTCTTATCCTATCATGCCTTAAATTGGTTTTCCATCATCAGATGGAGATTTTCAGATCTTGTGGTAATTCTTCCTGAGCCCACATTTTCTCTTTCCTTCCTTCCTTTTTTTTCCAGCCTTGCAAGTTATTTAGCTGAGGGGCCCATTCTGACTTGCACATTCACTAATTCATAGACCTTCAAATCCCCCAAATCAACACAATTTATATGTATTTGTGGCCTGTTAACAGTCAAATTATGATCTACTAAGTAGGAAATGCAGGCCTTGAGCTATCAGTCTATTTATGATTCAAGATCTTTCACACAGCATAAGTCCAGTCAGGATAAAAATTTAGAAAGGATGTGATCTATGACATGCAGTTTAATCAACTCGATGAATTAAACCTCTCCTTAGTGACTCATCCCATGGAAGTCTTCTTCAGTTTTCTGTTCTGCTTCCTTGGTTTCTAGTATTTGGTGCAGTCTTTTTAGTGCAAGAAATGAAGTAGCATGATTTCTCCAAAAGGGATATCAATATAAGAAGGGATTGTTAATTAAGTACAACAAAGGGTTTTTAAAGAATCAAATATATAAAGGCAAAAAACCAAGGGTTAATATAACACGGCAATACCAATATAGGCTTTTTTTTTTCATGTACTGAGAAATCAACATGAATAGATTAAGTCCTAAATGATAAATTCAGTCTCTATCAGATAATTCCCAAGACCCAGCAGAGAGTCTAAAATCTCGTGGCTTCCTGATGATGTAGGGAGGCCAGTTTATGTGACCGAAGTATGGATGGTGGGTGAATCAGCATTGAGATGGAATGGGGCAACACCCTATTTCCTCATAGCTAAATGATAGGTTTCTATAGGCTGGAAAGGCCAGGCATGCACTGAGGAAGAGGTTTTTTTTTTTAAATATTTTACACTTTTTGAAAAATTTGTGATACTGACTACTGCCAGCAAGCAGATAGACAAGTCTATCCACTATCCACTTGGGGAAAATGGATACACAATTCACGGTCCAAACTGAAAGACTAGCCAAAGTTTCCTTTAATGCCTTTGGATGCCATATGAGACTTGATACATGAGCAAGGAGAATTTATGGAGGAAAAACATTTTTTCCTGACCTGAAGGGCACATTCTGGCCTGTACCTTCTAGGCTGAATTGCAGTCTTCCATTCTCATGGTTACTCCGTTGCTGTTGGTGGACTTTCTGCCTGTTCATAATGTTTATGGATTGCTCATATTTCAAAGGGTACGAAGTAGGTAATCTGTTATGGATGGAGCTGGTCCATATTTCATGTGCACAGAAGCTGACTAGATTGCCAAACTTCAGCAGTCCTTTACTTTCAAGGCTTGTAGTGGAATGTTGCCCAAAATAAGAAAATGCATAATCAGTTATGCTCTTGAATGAAATGTTAAAAAAAGGAGAGGCTGCTTGGTAGGAACATTATGGGTAAATCTCAAAATGTTGTGAAGTATATCAAGAGGCAGGATTAAAAGTTGGCCGTTAGGAGTCCATCATTTCTCTCTCTAACTAGAAGACTAAGTTTAAATAGCGTTTAGCAAGATTGAGAAATAGAATCACGGACTGAATTTCATATATTTATAAGAATTGAGGCCAAAGCAATGGTGTTCTTGTTTAGTTGTGCTTTTCCAAATGGAAAACAACCTTGAATTGAAGATGACCTTTTTTTTAAATAATTTTTTATTTTTCCAAACTCTCCCCCATACATATACCGTGATATTTATCAGATGTTAACATACATTCTTTTTACATTCAAATATAAGATACTTTTGATAAAATGAAATAAATACATACATGTGACTTTTGGTGTTGCTCGCCCATTTCCCCTTTCACTGTATCCACACTACTTCTTCTCTACCTTCTTTCTCCCTTTCTTCTCTTCCCTACTTCCCTCTTCTTCCTCTCCTCTTCTCTTTCCTTCATCACTTCTCCCCACTTCTCTTCTCCTCCAGCCTTCCTACTTCCTTCTCCCCTCCTTTACTCTTTTCTCTCTCCTTTCCTTTCTTCTCTCATGGACTGGATTTCATATATTTATAAGAATTGAGGGCAAAGCAATGGTGTTCTTGTTTAGTTGTGCTTTTCCAAATGGAAAACAACCTTGAATTGAAGATGACCTTTTCAATAGAAGCATATATTGGACAAAAATCTGTCTGCCTCTATTTTTATATTCTTAGGAAACCTAAGTGGATCATAATATCTTAAAGGTAAAATATGTGTCTCTCTATTCTAAAGATAAATTATTTGGGAGGTGGGGGTGGGAGTTGAGATATCTTTCAGATAAATTTAGTACTTGCTATCTACTTTATAGGGAAATACAAGGCTAAACATGAGGACAATATGATAGTCAAGGCAATAGTTGTCCAATGTCTATAACCTGGACAAATGGCTACCATAAATCTAAAGGCTGTTTAGATGGTGTGGATAGGGACCAATCATTAGCCACCAGAGGCAGTCATAGGGATTGCTAAGGAGGAACAAACTTTCCAGGTTTGGTGAACTTTCAGGAGGAGCTAGACTTGCAAAGCCCCTCAGCTTTCAAGAAGCAGAATTTCAGCCAGCTCATGCCCTCATATGGGAGGAAGGGTCATCTGCTGAAATCCTGCCTCCCATGAAAGTTTCCAGAGTGAGCTTGGTGCTGGAACCAGCTTGTTTTCCAAATGGATTTCTGCACAGTCATTGCTGGAGCCTAGTCTCCTAATAGTAAGAGGGCATTACTCTTTGGGAAAAAAAGAAGACCAGCAGTCTGTTGGCCAATCACACTGCTGGCTATGCCCATTGTTGTTGTTGTTTTTATCTAATGGGATCTGCAACAAAATGTTACAGTCCGTAGTCTCCATCCCATTTGGAATGCTTTCATCTAGCTACTATGCCACCAGCATCAATTTTGATCATCTTATTATGTTTCACCAAAGGCAGTGGAAGAATCTTGTGGCCCCCTAATTAAAGAGTAATAGATATACTCCAGGAGGATGGAGGGATCTGTAAGCCCCCAAATGTTGCTAATTTCTATTATAGCATTGACTTTTGGAGATTTAAACCAGATGTTAGAGTGTTGGACAGCAATTTATCTTCAGTTTCTAGACTATTAGCTCAGGAATGTCACTGAGCATACTCAGTCCTCTATGGGCCTGTTTGGAGGATTGTCTTCTTTTTGTTTGTTAAATTCTTTTACTTATTATATTTTCCTTTATCCGAGGAACATTAATACAACATTTTGTCCTCCTGAACATCCTGCTTTATCA